CCTATTCAGCCTCCACAAGAGAAGGCTGAGGGGGGACCTGGTGACCGTCTATAAACTCACTAGGGGGGACCAGAAGGGCTTGGGGGAGACGCTGTTTCCCCTGGCGCCCGCTGGCATAACAAGGAGTAATGGGCACAAGTTGATGGAGAGAAGGTATAGATTGGACATCCGCAAAAACTACTTCACAGTTAGGGCGGCTAGGAGCTGGAACCAACTTCCAAGGGAAGTGGTGCTGGCCCCTACCCTGGGGGTCTTTAAGAAGAGGCTGGATGCCTACCTGGCTGGACTCATTTGAGTCCCGTTTTTTGTTTTGGGGTTTTGTTGTTCTCCCGCCCTGGCGGGGGGGTCGGGCTAGAAGATCTACTAGGTCCCTTCCGACCCTAAATCTATGAAACTATGAAACTATGGTCTTGGTGCTGTTAATACCACAGTACTGTGTTCAGTGCACACTGGTTTGGTTAAGTGCATAGCATTATTTCAGTGCTGAGGCTACACATTTAAACAGAGTATACTATATAGATGTAACAAAGCACCACAATGAATAAATGAGAGACTTAAGTATCCTCTCCTCCCCCCTTTAAAATTATCTCTCCCTTACATAAGTTACAAGGGATATCATATTACTGGTGACTGCCACTGAAGTGTTATCATAATCTAGTCAAGGATTTTAAGCCCAGATCTTGACAAGCCTCTTCTATTTTTACCTGTATTGCCAGTAAATGTTTTTTGGTTTGTTTTTTAGGACAGGTATATAGTACATTCGTAACTGGGCTAAAGTAAACTCAAATCTTCTTAAGTTCTGAAAAAAAAATGACAGGTGAAGTTTTCCCTCACTCCTACTTGCAAAATCTCAGTATATCCTCTATTCAGGTTTTAATGTACTTAAATTTCCTGAACTCTCCCATGAGTAAAAAATTTGATTTATGCTTTGACATCTTCACTAACAGATGAAGAGTTTTTAGAGTCCAAGATGGACCAGCAGAAGCTGCAAAACCTATTCCAGCACAAAAAAAGATGGGCTTGTCCTGTGATTAAGGAGAGAGTAATCCCCTTTGTTTTGCCTTTAACTAGTCTTTAACTTGCCTTTAACTATTTCAATCATACACTTTCCCTCCTTCTCATAGGGATGTGTTCTCAAAGGAAATGTTTCATTAACATTTTCTAGATCTTCATTCACCTCATCAGGAGATGCACATATTTATGGGGAAAAACAACAATACTGAAAGAATGTCAGGACATAGTACATCACCTATATCAGGCTGACCCAGTGAATAAGGATAGATGAAGTATCTGTCCCACAAGTTAGTTGCTTAGAGATCCAAATCCACACTATTAGCTCAGCTGAGGCTAAGCAGCAGCTTTTCTTTCTGACAAAGCTTCAAGGATTCTGTTGACCCTTCTCACCTCCTGCGTAGGCTCTTATCTGTGGTACTCAAGCCCATGTCATCATTTCTCCTGGTCAACAAAGACTTGAGACTGTTAGGAGAGGAGGCATAACTAGTAATTTTGATGCCCTGAGCAGATATTGTCAAGCACTGAAGAACTGGTGGGGAAGGAAAGGGGTAATGCCAAGCACCAGAAAGCAGGAGTGCAGAGCACTGCAGGATGCTGCTGGTGCTTGGGGTCAGTGCCCTACTCATCCCTTCTAGTTAGGGAAGGAATGGGCTATTGCAACTACCCTACATGTACACTATAGACTCTTCCTTTCATTTCATTTGGGAGTAGCTGCTCAGCTTTGTCAGTGTTTACTAGCTGGCTGAAGCCCAGCGTGAATGAAGTCACATCTGTACTAGTAAGAACAAAGGTAACCTCTACTTTAACTAAAGGTGCCTACCCACCTTTTGGATACAGAGGGGATTACAACCTGAGGATCTTGAGTCACTGTTTCTATTTTTATATGCAATAGCAGCTGAGAATCCAAAAACGGGGGCATTTTTTGGTTGGGTTTTGGGGGGGGGGGGGGGG